GCAAACGAGGCAAGCTGTAGAAAAGCAGGAGAGGATGCAAAGAACACAAAGTTATACCAGGTTTTGAGATGAAGTCATGAGAGGGATTGATAGTACTAAATGATTATACTGAAGAAAAAGGGATTTATCTGAGCGAGATGATCGTAGCCTTTAATGTGTTCAAGGAAACAATGTAAATGGAAGAAAACTAACAATTCATACTTCTTAGAAGACAGTCGTACAACGGCAGTAGCCTGAAGCTGAGGAAAGAAATGTTTAAGACTGATTTTTAGAAGATTTTAGCAGTTAAAAAAGTCTTGTAAGGTATAGTGATGGAAGTACTACTCAAGTTATAATCAAACATGGTTGGTGCCAGTAGGCATGGTTCCGTCAAATGCAAACACTAAGTGGATGGTCCTCATAGTCATTTACTGTTTCTTATTGAGTGAGTCCACTCAAGTTTGCTTTTTTATTTCTTTTTGTTGTTATGCACTCTGATTTACTGCAAGGATCTTCCTCTGCAGTTACACATACTGTATGTGTGTGTGCAGGTTTAAGATTACAGTGATTCATGGGCTGGGCTGAACCCACTAAGTTCCAGATTTGTTATGCAGAGGAAGAGGAGGATATTCTTGAAAATGTCAATAGGGCTTATTTTGGGTAAGTCAGGAAGTTTTCAGTTATTTGAATAGCAACTCCCTCAAAACCTGCCAGTAATCCCCCAATTAAAAAAAGTTAATCAAATCCATTTTTTTTTCTTTCCAAGGAAAAACAGAGAATTAGAGAGAGCTGCACAGGGTAGTGCTGCACTATGTGCGTTTAGGTTTTCATGGGCTGGGCTGAACCCACTAAGTTCCAGATTTGTTATGCAGAGGAAGAGGAGGATATTCTTGAAAATGTCAATAGGGCTTATTTTGGGTAAGTCAGGAAGTTTTCAGTTATTTGAATAGCAACTCCCTCAAAACCTGCCAGTAATCCCCCAATTAAAAAAAGTTAATCAAATCCATTTTTTTTTCTTTCCAAGGAAAAACAGAGAATTAGAGCTGCACAGGGTAGTGCTGCACTATGTGAGTTTAGGTTATTCTGTGAGATGTTTCCTCTACCAAGAAGGATGGCAGGGGAGGGATTAGCTTCAGTGTGCCCTGCATTTGCTTTCTTGTGTAATTACGGGAAATGCATTCAGTGTGCAAGGGTATCATTGCTGTCCTGCTGTTTTATCATTTCTTTATGAGATAATGTTGATTTCAGCAATGAAATGCAAATTTAGTTTACAGTGCTCCTTTTCTCTGTATAAAGGTTAAAATGCATATTGTAGATAATACTGTTGGTGGTGCTTTTGAAACAGTCTTTGTCAGCTAATTTTAGCAATACATGCTTTTAAATGCTGTTCAATGCAACTGCATGAGTTTTATGTTGGCCTACATGAATTAAATTTAGCCCAACATGCATGTTGTTACCATTTTGGCTATAATTTGATTAAGTCGTCATAAAACCTTGGTACCAACAAAAAAAAATTTGGATGGGTTGAGAATATTTAATATATAGTGTGCCTTCTGTGTGTTATGGCAAACTGAACGTACAATTATTGAAGCTGAGCCATCTTAACTCTATAATCATAAAATTCTTCTAACACAGGGGGCTAACAAATACTCCTAGGAACGCAGATGCTAATGAATTCTGTGTTTGGAGGGTATGTTTCTGTTTACTTATAAACAAATAGTTTGTATTGCTGGTGATAAAAGGGCTCAGAATTTTAACAAGTCCTGTTACAATTAGCCCCAGTGTAGATTATAGACAGCTCCATTTAGTAAATGCTGGGACTCCAACAGCAATAAAATACATGCAAGAATGGAAACAGTTTTCAGCTAGCAAGCAAGTTCTAACATAACAGCAAGGCCAGTACTAACGGAAGTTGTCTTTTTTATTGTTATCTCTTTAATTTATCTCGCTTTCCTGTGTAAACTGCTCACTATTGTGCAAAGAGAGGGTGTGTGTTAACTTTGGTGACATTGTGTTACTCCCATTAAGTTACGCTGTACACGGGGTTTTTTCAGCGTGACTGTACTTAGGATTTTTTTTTTTTTCCCCAAACTGCATGAGCCAAATAATGTTTCATAACTAATAACAAATCCCATTTCTACTTTAGGTGGTATGGCGATAAATTCGCTGGCACGGTTAGTAAAAGGATTATATAAAAAAAGGAGTGTGAGGTTTTAATATAGTTAGTATGAAAGAGTAAAAAGGTGGGGGAGAGGGTTTTATGAAATGAGATGTTCTGTTGTAGACAATAATGGAAAATAGCTCTGAAAATGCTGAGTTGGAGTAATGAATGAATAATGTCTAAAGTTTATCAAAACTGAAAGAACTCCTGATGTGAAATGAAGCCTCCTAAGAAAATTCTGTTCTGTCGCTGTCTTGCTTTGCTGTTGTCGCCTGTCACGCATGAATGAAAATGCTGCATTCTCCGGGGAGCGGTAAAGCTTCTGTGTAGGTTGTTTATTTCCTTAATCCCTCCTTCTTCGTGATTTCCAATGTCAGATATAAAATGGAAAGCCTGTAAATATAGTGATTATCATACTGATTATCACCTGCATCAGGGAACGCCCTGGCTGGCCGGTGTAACCCTAGCAGTCTCCACATGTTACAGCCACTTAGATTTTAACCTGACTACTTTATTAGAGACGTAAAGCTCAGTATGAGGTGCCCTAGGGCTGCACAGATGGGGTCTGCTTGTTTCCTGTTCTCACTGTTATTGTGAATAGATACTAAAAGGTTCTCATCGCTTTTATCTGGTTAATTTACTTTGAACTGTCCCTGGCATTCAGGGCCTGCCTCACATTTGTCACCATTTTGCAAACACCAAACTGTAGTCTCCAAACGTGTGTTTTGAGCTTTATTACCTTTTTTTACTGGAAGGGCCTTAATTCTTAAAGGGGCGCGATTCTGAGAGAGGCTGGTTCTTAGGGGGCTGTAGGCACAGTCCTTACTGAAAGAAGCTGCTCAGGGGTATCAACTGAACTCTGCTATCAACTGAACTCTGGGGTTGAGTTGATAGGAGAGAAGGAAATTAAGATTGCTGCTGTTCTTTGGCACGTTCAGACACCCTTAGATTAGAGGTCAACTGCAGGAAAATCTATGATTGTGTGCTAGCTACCATTATTCATGTAGCTGGGCAGCAGACCAGGCTAAAAGATGACGCTGTAACAGGAAAATCCGAAGATGGGATACTTTTTAACAAATGTGCAATCATTTATCCTTTCTTGTGGAAGGGCCAGGTCTTTCAAACCACATGTGCTATGCACGGGTGCCCCAGTACAGAAAATTAAGATGAATTCTCTCAAAGTCTCCCACATAAGGAAATACTACTTAACTAGAAGAGTTTTTATTTCACAGATGTAAGAATGTACTGGTGTCCAGTTTCCTGGCCAAACAATAGTTTAACACAGATGTTAATGTCCTGCTGCACTGGGACATTAAAGAAATCCCCTTAGGACAGATCAGTGTAACTTCCGATTTCAATTGCATGACAAAAAACCTGAGGTTGAAGAAGTAATTTGGCTACAGTATGTAGTTTTTAGTCCATTTTCTTATTCTCTGCCCCCTTATGAGTGCCTTATTTTTGGGTTTTTTTTTTTTTTTCTGTGTCCTGGTCCTATTTGAGGCTTTCTTGATTGTGTTGCCGTTCATTGTGAGTGCATCATTTCAGAATGGAAGCTTGCAGGCTCCTTTTTTCATATGAGCATAGGCTTTGTTAATCACATGCTGGTTTAGGAAAACACTGCATGATATCTTTGAACCCTACACTCCTTCTTGACAGCCAGGCTAGCAAATGTCATTGACTGTGTGATGTACAAGAAGGAATTCAATTGTAAGTAAATTGTCAAAGTGGCTAACCTTGCCCGCACCCAATTGTCAGGACCATGATTCAGTTTTTCTGTCAACATCAGCTAAGGCTAACCCGGTCAGCCTTATGTTTCTGCCGTGAAGCAGCCTGAGGAGTTGTGCTTTTCAGCTTATCACATTTTATTAACCTCAACTTACTGTTGTTGTAATCAATTGTACCCACTTCAAATATTGCTCCCAAATTGGCAGATCATATATGTCCATGAGTATGTATTTTCTGCAGCACTAAAAGCTGTCGTAGGGACACTGCACTTAAATGGTTTGGTACGGTCATTATTTTTGTTTAGTTGGATCAACTCCCCATTTTGGCTCAAGACTTATCCCTCTATTAATATCACTTGGCAAAGATAATTGGGAAGAATGCAAGTAAAAACATAAAGACTTTGAGGGGTTTCTGCAATATTTGCAATGTTAAGGTAGAAAGTGAGTAAGGGAACAAGCATTGCTATTGTCTTCTGTCTCCTTGCTTTTATTTCAAAACAGATTTTAATTGCTCCAATTAAATATGAAATAAGAAATATTTTTAATATTAAATAAGAAATGAGGACATTCTGATATCCTGATGTTTCCTCTGTTCTTTCAGGAAAAGGACATAGTTAAATTGCCTAAAGCAGTGATTAAGACATCAGAGTATTTTAAAATGCTCATCTGATTCCACCACGAGGGTTTGAACACATTTTGTGATCCTATTTTTTTAAGGCACTGTACATGACAAATGATTTTGTAAAATGGCTTGATAACCTGTATCCTGTGAAGTGCCATACATAACTGGAGATATGATACAATTTCAATTAAAAATATGTCTGAAGGATATTTGTCTGGATTTGAAGTAGTGGTTTCCTAGTCAAAGTCCTATCTCCAGAAGTAACTTTCCTCGCCTGGAAAAAACATATTGTACCTTCTTAATTTGAACTTGTGCAGTGTGTTGACATTGTACCGTTGTTGGGCTTGAGGGAAGGAGGGGGAAGCTTTTGGTGCCACTATCAGGATTGAACAACTGTATATGGGTATATTGAGATAATCGTGTAAAAGGAAAACTGGCTGAATGAGTTTCAGAATGTGTTATTTCTTCATTATCTAGCACTTTATAATTAACTGTTCTTTTTTTATTATTTCAGGAAGCTGCCACTTTTGCTAGAGAGCAAGGCTTTGAGGTGAGTTAACCCACAATTGCACACTAAACAGATCCTAAAGGTTTTTTTTCTTGCTGATAATGAAGTTCTTTTGGACAATGATTGATGTGCTATTATACTCTCCAAGCCTCGCAGCGGTTGCCATGGAAACTTGGCAGTCGTCATGGTTTCTTTGTTCTGCCAGCTCAGTGTTATGACGCACTCTGCTAGGTCTGCACCCAACATCGCCTACAGATGTTATTTATTGAATTTTGAAAAGCCTCTTGGGAAGCCGAGAGGTTGGGCACGGTTTCAAGCTGCTTCTGCAGATATGGGACCTGTCAGTTTGTTCAGTTAAAAAGCTACCTCATTAGCTGCATTACACTCCATAAGGATTCACTGCTAAAGCAGTGGTGAAGCAAGACTAAATAGTGAAATATAACACCGCTTAAATAACTTAAACCCTGCCATATGCGGATTATCATTATGCAAATGAATTTTAGAAAGGTTGTGTATAAAATTGTTAGGTACTGATTAATGTAAACCATGCTTCTACAAACAGTTTCTTTTAGAAGGGGTAGTGTGGAATTTGTGTTTCAAAACATATTCGAGTTGGTGTTTTCCATCTGTGCTCTAAAAATGTATGATCCTCTACTTTCTTGAAGTAAATACTGTTGATTTTACAGTGATTTTCAGAGCTTTTGATTTCCTCTTCTTGAGGTTTTTATTTGAATAGTATCTCCCATTGGCTAAATTCAGATAACTTAATCTGGAGAGCTGTCAGCTATTGGTCTCTAATGCTGAATTCAAATAGGCAGGTTTTAAATACTATAATTAATGTGACAACGGTTGTGCTAATTTTGCAGATAGTAAGTGATCTTACTGAAATCTAAATTGCAGAACTGAACACACATAAATCCTTTTACATGTTTTTTCACTGGAATAAGACCCACCTTAATTGATTTGTTTGCAGTATGAAAGAACAGATAGGAGCTTGACTGCTTAACACCCATTTTGCATAAATAATAGAAGCCGCGCAATTCAAACCGCATCGCTTTAAGAACATGCCACTTTTGTGTGTGGATGGTTGCATATAAAAAAAGAGGGAAAGACTGACGGCTTTTGTTCTACGATTTAGATTTCTTTAGAGCCATACACCAGCAGGTACATCAATACCATCAGTGTTTTAGATATTAAAACTGTGGGCTGTCCCATTTCATTTTATGTTTCCCCAATTCATGTGGCTGCTTTGCAGAAATCAAGACTTTTTATCACTGTCAATTTTCATTTGTATAATCTGTATTGTTAGCATAAAAATACACTTTGAGTTTATTCTATCAAATGAATGAATTTCACAGATGCCTCCAAATATAATATGAAGCATAACAAATTATTGGTACCCTCTGGTAGCTAGACAATAAAAAAAGAAAGGAAGTAGTGTATTAAGTCTACCCATTCTATATTTTTATTGCCCCCTTGAGCTAAAGACTTTGAATGTGCCTGGTTTAAATTCAGTTCTAGTGACAAACTGCTTTTGCTGGTGTCTGCTAACTACCATCATATTAACCTTTCCATTAGTGCTTGCTTAGAGATTCTAGCACAGTTCCTTCTGAACATCCTAAATCTGCCACATTTGATTACAGCATATCAGTAAAGTGCACAATGATTATGATCTTATCTCTTATTACCCCCTTGCTTGGCAACAACTCACATGTCAAGTTTACTGACAGAGATGTGTAAAACTTGATAAGTGTCCACAGTCTTGTTTTCCATTGTGCTGTGGAGGCAAAAAAATCACACTACTAATAAAGTATCTTAGGAAAAACTTCGAGTTCAGTTAGCTTTTCAGTTAAAAACAAGAAAAATTTCCAGCAACTCTCAAAAGCTTGTAAAACAGATTCTGCAATTTATATTGAGAATAGAGAACTGACAAAACATGGAAAAGTAAAGTGAAAGACTGGAGTGACCAGAGCAAAAATCAAGAGGATATTTATCATAGAAGTGATGAAAAGTTGCTGGTAGCTGAATTTGAATTGCAGCCTGGAATTTTATTTTTTTAACAAAAATCATCAGACATCTTTTAGCATGGAGAATCATTTGTGACTGTGACTAGCGCTTTTTTTTGACTCTCTTTTTTAATTGTCCCCTTTTCTACCTTCCAGTAATTTCAACCAAATGCATCTTTTAAATATAGATTAAGTATATCTGAAACAACTCTTGAAAAAGAAGAAGTACAATCAAGTCAACTTCAGGAAAAAATACACCTTTTCTGAAGAAATAAAATCTTGTCATAGGCAGGAGAAAACACTTCCATGACACAAATTTGTTTTTCCTTTGTAAGAGAAACCGTGTTCAAAGGAATTTCTATTTTTATGCTTCACCTTACCGAGAGTTAGTTTTCCATTGTACTTTGCTGAAATCCAAGGTATTTTTGTAAAATCAGTAATGATACTTGAAGACCATTATTTCCTTCATTTCATCCCCTGACCAACGCTTATCTGTAATAATCAAAAGTAGAACATTATTTCTGATGCAGTCCCTTCCTGGAGTGCATCAGTGTTTTCATTTTCGTGAATTTCATGTTCTGTGACATTTTAAAACTATTAAATAAACAGTAAATTCACTGTCTGTGAAGACAGTGCTTCGTCCTAATTGTATATTTCAGTCATCTTACTAATACATTATAATAGTCAAAATTTTCATCCCAGAGAAGGTCTTGGACTTGCTTCTCCTTGAAGTGGTAGAATGGTTGTCAGTGTATTTTAACTGGATGTTTGTAATATGTTTCAAATAACAAAATTGCCAGGACAAAGGTTTATGAGGATTTGTTTTTACAGAATAGTAATTTGCTGTTTATTTTATGTAGGAATTAGAAAAACATAATCCTACTTTAACATAAAACTTAGGGTTCAATTCTGTCTGTCAACCCAAGAAGTAAAATGTAAAATGATGTGAATGGAACAGTACGTATCTAAGGGGTTCGTAGCAGCTGCCATGCAAAAGAGTTTTTCCTGTTAGAGGCAGAGGTCTCCTCCTAAGTATGTATTGGTTGGGGAACCAAATTAGAGAGTTTTGGTACCCTGGACCAAATTTAGGTCTTCAAGTTAATGAGGTACACTGCACAGGTCCGCTGTTCCCAATGGATTTATGTCTGTTTAGGTCAGAGCTGTGGTAGTCCCAGCTATTGTGTATCTGTTCAGAGGCAAAGATCAGAAGACATAGTTTTTCACATACCTCTATCTGATCCTGGGATAGCTGGTGTACTTTCTCTACGTGCATATATTCCACTTACTTGCTGGAATGAATGCCACATGCAAGGTTTTTCAGGTGCAGCATCAATAGGCAAATCATGCTTTTGTGAGATTTGTATGTCAGCTTTGTTAAATCAGATTCAAGTGTATAATTGGATATGTGTGAGTATCCTGAGAATTTGGGGCACACTGTAGAGGCTTTAGGACCACAAACCAGTACAGGCTTACCATTCAGCCGTGTCTGTAGATACAGGATGTATAAGGAAGTCTTGGTAAGTGTGCAAGTACGAGTCAGTGCAAAAGAAATATTATTCATTTCAGCTATTTGAAAATACTATGTATATTCTGAACAGAAATAGGAGGTGACAACATTTCATGATGTTTGGCTGACAATGAAATGAGGGGCATGGTACCTCTGCAGTCTTAAGCTGTAAATATTCACATATGATAAAATGTCACAGTTGTACCTTCAAAATACAACATAACAGTAAGGTGGAGATATATTGTGCAAAAGTTAAGCCTCCTCAACACTGAGATTGCAGCTCTTCCACTGTATAAGCTCTATTTTATTCTCCTCCTTTGAAAAATTGTAGTATAGAAAGTGATTTTGGCTGAAAATGGCCAAGTTAATTCTCACAGAAGATGCTATTCAGTTACTTTTAAGGTCTGCACAATCAGACACAAGTCTCCAAACCACTCTGTTTTCAAATTTCTGCTTTATAAAAAATTGCCTTTTTTCCCCTAAATACCTTCCTTCTACTGTTACAGGCTTATTACCTATTTAATTCTTCCTGAAAACATATGTGCTTTTTACTTTCTTTTGCTGTCTACTTTATTTCATCCTTTATCATAATTCTTCACTAATCTTTTTCCTCAGGGTC